GCTACCACCAGGGAGAGAATGAAAACATGCAGGATGCCGGTCCTCGACCAAAGCTAACGAAAAAATAACCTTTTTACATCTCCAAACATTGTTTATCCAGATGGGTCTAAACTAGCAGAAACAGTAGCCGTTCTCTTTCTGCCGCTGACTTCATCCCTCCTAGTTCTCTAAAACATTTCTACTTCCAATAAATGTCTACTATGAGTCTGAGATGCTAAGTGAACCTTTTTGTTCCCTGCTGTTGCTGCAGGTTCTCCTTCAAGAAGAGAACCTGGGGATACACTACAGGTTCAACATTCCCATCCAGCGGACAGGAAGCGGGGACAACGAGGTGGGCTTCTCCTGGCACCACCCGCCCTGGTCCGAGTGCTCAGCTACCTGCGCCGGCGGTAAGCCTGGGATTACTGTTCATATTCCTATGTGAAGCGTTTCAGCTGCAAGAGAATGTCGGGGCCAAATGTCGAAAAATTAGTAAAATGTTCAATGTTGTAGTTTTTGCACTTTTTACATTTTGATTGACACATCAAACATCTTGGAACGGTGGAAAAAATGAATATATATCATGCATTTGTTACATTCATGCTTGTGAAATGAGACTCACTAATTTGTGTCCATTGACTATAAAAGTGCACAAATTGGAATTACGAAATTAAAGTTGCTTAATGGAAGCATGTCAAAACTGTACCAAAATTAGTTTATTTCAGAAAACTGAAGAGGAAACACTCCTCACATCACGTGATCAATAACTGAATGTTTCTACTGGTGGAAAAGACGACAATGATGACAGGAAGTGGCAGGAGGATAGTGACGTTGCATTCTTTTTTATGACTTACCTCCTGAACAAACTTACTCACATGTAATTTTAATTGCAATTATTTCCCGATTGCATTTCCTTTTGCAATTATGAAATTGTGTTTTTTTTTTCAACATTAGCAGAACATCGACAAAGTTTTGTGCACATTTGCAAAGGAAACCCAGCTAGTGTGTTTTTACACCAATCAGTTCTGGTATCAGGACCATGTGGAGGTTGTTACCTAGCAACCTGTTTCTGGAATCAACCTGCGTCTTCATATTTATGCACATTTTACATCTTTTTGTCTAAACTTTGCCTGTTTTAGATCAGTTAGAATTATTAAAATTATTTTTGCATTTTCTAAAACCCATAAAAAAGAGTGATTTATTTTTTTTATTCTCTTTTCAAATGTAGAAGTTTGCATACATTTTCTTAATTTCTGGTATTGCCTTGTAAATGTTTCTTCCTTAAGCATCCTCCAATGATTCAATTACATTTTTGGCCCATTCCTCTTGACAGAACTAATGAAGCAGAGTCAGTTTCATAGGCCGTCTTGCTCACACACACATTTTCAGCTTAGCAATGTTGTAACCACTCAAAAAATGTACTTTGTTGTTCTTCCATCACTCTGTAGCTGTGAGAATGCTGCCTGGCTGATGTCTAAAGTTGTTGTTTCAATGTTTCCACATATTGTTCATTCCTCGTAGCGTTCTGTTTTGTAAAGAGTAACAATTCCTTATTCAGCAAAGCACAACACGATGCTGGCGCCCCGTTCTTCACAATTGGTGTTCTAAAGCCTGCAAACGTGTCTATGGGGCTAAATTGGAGCCTTAAAGTTTATCCAAAAGAAGAAAAAAAATATCCTAAAGATTTGCAACTGAAAAAGTATTTTGAACCTGAGAAAACAAAACAAAAAAAATGTTTGTAACTACTTTTCAGATTCAAGATGTTTTTGTGGTGAGCCGCGATTTGTGATTCCTGGATCCGAGGCCCCGCCCCCACACCAAAACAGAGACAAAAGTTTGAAACTGGAACATAAAAAATCTGAAGCTGAAAAAAATCCTCTATCAACATATTTTTAAATTTCAAATCTTAATTTTTAATTTAAGGGTATTTTCCCCCCTTTTTTTCAGTTTCAACATTATCTTTCAGTCTCAAAATAATTTCTTTTTCCAACTCAAATTTTTTTTAAATCAGACTTTATGACCCCATTTTAGCTCCCTTCTCCCTAAAATGTAATCCGTCTGTCTGTCCTGGATTGTCTCACAGAGATATTCAAGAAAAACACGTTCTCTTAAGAAGTTGATGCAGCTGCCAGAGAAATGGCCTGAAACGCGGCTCAGAGAAGAAACCATTACTCCAGAAGCAACCTAAAGAGCCTATTTAGAGTTTGCAAATACATTAAAGGACAAAAACATTAATTACATTCTTCTAGACTCTTGTCTAGACTTTAGTCCAGGTGTCCCAAACTCATTTTCATTTTGGGCCATGTTGAGATTAGGAATGTCCTTAAAGGGCCAGTACTTCTTAAAAATACATAATATTTAACTTCTTTTAGCATTGATGTAATTTGGCAGTATATAGAGGAAACTGCTTTGATTTGATTATTGAAATGATATAAGAGATAACTGTTATCTTCTATGTGAGCCTCAACAGAGCTCTCAAACAGCTTCTTGTTTTCTTGTATATAGTGTGTAGTGTACTAGCAAGGGACTATAATGTTTGATGTGATCCAGACTAATGAAAATTCATTCTGCGAATGAGCTTTTGGTTTAGCCGTGCTGCGGAGAGATGCGACCCGTCTTACAAAATCAGACATTCAGTCTGAAACCACAGTGAAATGCTGCCTGTGGCCTCAAGAATAGCAAACTCAAAGCTTTTAGCTCAAAAGATATGGGTCTCATGTAACAATAAATAGCGCTTCTACGCAGCAGTTGTCAAAAGTGGCCTGGACTGGGTTTGTAATATTTTGTAAAAGCATGACTGAGTAAGCTTGTGGGTTATTCTGGGGAAGGATTTCCAAGTCGACAGCAGAGCTATTTTATTTTTTATTTTTTCTGTGGGGAAGCACGTTTGGCTTTCCTGTTTCCTAAACTCCACTTTGTATTGTAAATCAGAACTTTGTAACTTGAGCCAAATGTATGCGTCTTCTGACCGTACGGGGATTTAAATCAGCAAAATGGGGTTTAATCATTGTCCCTTTTGATAGGACTAGTTCAAGGAATCACTAAGTGGCATTTAGTATGTCACTGAACCAATAATATGTCCAAAACAAACACTTTTTGACACATTACAACTGAAACTGTTTAACCACACGGCCTGGGTTATTCATCTTAACTGTGTTTCACTCAGAACCCAGATGGATAGACTTCCTGTTCTTCACACACACACACACACACACACACACACACACACACACACACACACACACACACAACCATATCTCATTACATCTGCCAGACTAGTCTAACGCCGGATATGTCCCTGGAGGGTCCAAACAGACCCAGCACAGGTATGTGTGCCACTCACACACACATGCTTGCACACGCATTCACACAGTGGACGGTGCGACACCGATACGGTAGCCGTCGTTTTCTCTGGCAGGAGCCAAAGTAAAGAGCTCCCTGCTTTGTAAAAACCATCTGCCAACATATCCCGCAAAGGATCAGGAATTTACATGTCTGGATCTACTGCAGAACACAAACAATACCCAAACACGGCGCCTGGCGTGTATCTGAAGGGTCGACTTGCCGTATTGATCTTTGATTTGTTGTTTTTTTGTGGGGGGTGGGTTTCCCAATTGCAGGCTCCCAGAAGCAGGAGGTGGTGTGTAAGAGGCTCGACGACAACTCGGTGGTGCAGAACAGCTACTGTGAGCCGGACAGCAAACCGCCAGAGAACCTGAGAGACTGCAACCCTGAGCCATGTCCTCCAGAGTGCGTAACGTTTGAGCCTGTAATATCAGCTGGTTGGATTTGGGTCACAAGGTGCCAACGACTACTATTGGTTTCAACTGTCGAGTTGTCAACGACAACGACAAAAGTATATACAAAATATACTTTTGTATATTGGGTGATATACAAAAGTAAATGGGATTCAATGTTTTGCTACTAATTGTCAACATTACAACTAGATAACAAGGTCCAGGGTTTCACGTTTCATAGGTCAGTAAAAAAACTTGAATCAAAAACAAAGAGCGAGGGAAATAGTTCAGTTATGCTAGCTTGACTTTGATAACTTGATGATCTGGGCCTGTGATGCCAGAGAAGCTGTTTCACAAGATGGCTGCATTTTGTAAGGTTTCCCACTTGCAGATTTTCTAAATGGTGTAAAAAGTGAAGCATAAAATCTTATAGTAATGTCAAACCATAAAGTATACAGAAACCAAACAAATATGGTGTGAAGGAATCCTCTTGGAGGATTAGCATTTCGTAATATTTGTGTGCTGTTGTTCTACCACCCCTTTTTTATGAGTGATCCTATTTTCTTTTGACCTTTTTTTTAGTTTATTTTTATTTTATTATATTGATGTAATTATAAAGTTCTTTCATTTTTTTTTAAATTTCTTACGTTAATTTGCTCTTTCTTTTTACAACGTAAAAAAAAATGTTACATACGATTAACACACAGGGTTGTGTACTTTTTGGACGTAATCTGCGCTGCGTTCGAACATAATTTCCGTCTCCGTTTCTTACAAGAGCGATCTCTGACGACGGCTCCTCTGCCTCTCCTCTCCTGTCTACCCCAGAGCACAGGGAGAACAGCGACATTATATTACTGTTGTAGACAAAACAACGTGCAGCTTTTCACGACTGAAGCGACACTAAACTGCTTTGAACAAATAAAAAAACACGAGCAATGATAAAGCATCAAAGACATGAGAAATAATCCCATGTTTTGTCTGCTACATCTTGTTTTATTCAATCGACACCCTTAATAAAAACATTTTTTTTCCACAATTAATTAGTCATCATTAATTCACAGCTACCCTGCAATTAATCAGACAAAAAATGTGTTATCGTTTGACAGCCCTGGCCAGTTTACCACTGAATTTAGTCTCTGTTGTAGTCTTTTATTTGAGAATGTCAGTGAGTTCACTAGACCCCAGTTGGCTTCACATTCACCAGATCTCAACCCAACAGAGTGCCTGCGGGATGCGGCTAAGTGGAAGATTTGCATCAAGAATGCGCAGCCAACAAATCTGTTGCAACTATGTGATGTCATCATGTTGATATGGACTAAAATTGTCTGAGAAATGTTTCTGACACCTTGTCCAATCTGTAATACAAAGAACGAGGGCAAAAGGCTTGGAAGATACTAAAGTGGAGGATGAGGTCACGTGTTCATTACCCGCAGTTGTGTTCGCCGGACTCAGACATGCCGCGTCGCATCTATTTTGATTAAAGCTGCGGCGTTGCATTTCTGTGCTGAGTTATGGCACACACATGACATTTGTTTCTGCTAAGGAAGGCAAACAACCCCTCACCGAGTCAGACAAGGCCTGCTAAAGAAGACCATAAACATCATTGTTTTAGAATCGCCAGGTTTTATGGGCTCTGCTAATGAAAGCTGACACAGATGTTTGAACAAGTTGTTAATTCTGTGTACATTCCAGCAGATGATGTAATATCTCATTGGCTGAAAATGTTTGGAGGGCTGTTGTTTTATGATAATTTTTTTAGCTTGTAGACAGAGCTGAACAGGAATGTCATATTTTCTCCAGGCCAAAAGCAGCTTTCTGGTCTGCGATATGACGCACCGGACACCAAAGCACGCTCATCGTTAGCTGGCTGCCACGTAGCCGCGATCAGCTTACTGACATCATTCATGTCGATGTGGTTACGTACGGCCAACAAGGTCCTAATTAGTGTTGAACTTTTTTTTTCTTGGTAAGGTTTATAATATGTTTTTACTTTCAGTAGTTAGCGAGTTGTTGAGATTCTAGCTTACACTTGATAGGACTTGCGACGCTTGCCAAACTTATTACGTCTCTTTTTAAACTTTTTATACAGATAAAGTTACAAACTTTTTAAATTACTGATGTTACCCTGATAAATGAATCTTAAACTTTTGAGAACAGGTGCAAGGCAAGTCAGGTTTATCAGGAATGCCTGGGCATCGAGTCAGGGCACAATAAAGATGAATGAAAATGACACAAAATGTCTTTTTCACACATCATACTTCCATTTTTTAATTGGATTTCTGACGGGATAAGAGGTCATCCTCCATCAGGAGAGAAACGTTCTCCTCTGCCTCTGTTGCCTTGCGTTGTTTCATATTTTCCCCTATATCTATGTGGATGACATGCAATTATAAGTTAGTGACTGGCTCTGTTGAAAATTGTGCTGTTTTAAATGCCAACACAACAGAGAGGCTGATAAAAGCTGCAGAAGGTTTACGTCTTAAAATCAATCAGGTTGTTTCCTTTTGCTCATCAGCTTACTCACATTACTCGATGAATACAGCACCAAGTTGCCTTAATGAGAATTTATTTTACTAGATTTGAAGTAACTTCTGGAGCTACTATCAGGTAGCTTGTTCCACTGATTGTAGATTTACAGGAAAAGCCGACTGCCCAAAAAGTAAAAACTTTTGTCAAGTATTATTATACAAGTTTTTGTTGTTGTTGTAATTTTCCCGTTTTTCTTTTTTACAGCGTCTCGGTAACCTTCTGTCTTTTCTCGGTCAGGTGGTTTATCGGCGAGTGGTCAGAGTGCGGAAAGACGTGTGACGGTGGGACTCGGACCAGGACCGTCCTGTGTATCAGGAGGACTGGCCCCACTGAGGAGGAGACGCTGGAAGACGCCTTCTGCCTGACTCATCGACCCATCGAAAGAGAGTCCTGCAACAACCAGTCCTGCCCGCCGAAGTGGGTAACTCTGGAATGGTCAGAGGTAAGACCACGTTTTCTAGTTTTTTTTTTAAGCCAACTCCGCCGTTGGGATCTCGGAGTTTTTACATCGTTTTCTTCTCGCGCCTCAGTGCACGCCAAAGTGTGGCCCCGGCTTCAAGCACCGCATCGCCCTGTGCAAGAGCAGCGACCTGACCAAAACCTTCCCGCCCACCACCTGCCTGAGCCACAACAAGCCTCCGGTCCGAATGCGCTGCAGCTCGGGGCGCTGCCCTCCACCTCGCTGGATCCCTGGGGACTGGGGGCAGGTACGGCTGGAGCGGGGTTCCTATATTGACCCAATAATCCTTCTTTTGACCAAAAAAAACAACTGTTTTTGGGCTGTGGTCTTTTCACAAAATCTGGCAGGTTTTTAGAAAGTGTTCAGAGGAAAATTCTTTCAAAATAGTCGACATCGTGTGACAGAAAAGCAGAAAGCTTTTAATAAGATTGTGTTGTCGCATTTATTTTGAAGCATCCAGAATCTGTTGAAGGTGGAATGTAGGAAATGATTGACGAGGGACAAAATGACTTCCTTTAAACCTCCCTCAATATAAAAACCTGGAAAGCAGAGAATCTTCTTCACACGTGTTCGGTTTGATACAATTAAAACTTTTTTTGAAAACGTGTACAGTGGCAGTTTTTGACACGTGCTACGCGGGCAGTTGCCCAGGGTGGCATCAGAAAGGGGTGGAGAAGCCAAGAACTGCAAAATGAAATATATCTTCTGTCAGGTGTCCCTGAAACAGGTTTGCTACTACTTTCTCAGTTTCCCTTAGTTGCTGTTGAGAACTGAAAGACTACATTACCTGCTTTCTGCTACAAAAAAAAAAACAAAGCACAGATAATTATTTGCATTTTAATTGGTTGGAGTACATCAGAAGGAGGGGCTTGCCCAGGGTTTCCTGCAAGAAACATAACTGCATTCATTTTTATATTTCAGGCTTACAAAGTTAGTCATATTGATTAACTGTGATTAATCACAGCGATAGTGCGATTAAGCTGATAATTTTTTTTATAGACACTAAAGTCAGGTTAACTGGTTACTTTAAAAGTATAGAAAATTAATGTATGTCCCAGATATGCACATAATAAAATCTATAAAGGTTTGTCGTGTGTGAGAAAAAGCATAAATATGCAACTTAAGGTAAAACCTGTAAAACATAGCATGCGGTTTAATATGTTTAAGCAAACATATTTGCTTAAATATGTTTAAGCAAATATGGAATATGAATATGAAATATGAAATATGAATAGAAAACATGGTAGTTTTTGTATAATTTAGACCTGAATGTTGCACAGTGAGCTCCTGTGACACGTATTTGTGCATGTGCGTGTGTGTGTGTGTGTGTGTGTGTGTGTGTGTGTGTGTGTGCAGCGGTCTAAGCGTTCCAGCAGGCCTGTGTGTGATTGTTGGCAGTAATATCCTCCTGGCTGTTTGAAGTTTATCTCTGCCTCGGAGCAGGACTCTCTGTCACTTCCAGGAACACGGTTTGGACGGAGAGAGACAGAGGAGTAGCATTCTCGAGCTCACCCTGACATGACTGAGTGCGTCCTGAAAAAAAAAAAAATCTGCTGAACACATTACAGCACAGCTGATTCACAGGGGTGAGAAGAGGCCAGAAAGTTGTGCGTCACACATTGCTGTATGTGCAAAAAAAAAAAAGTATGGCACAATATTTTTTTGCAGGATTCATCTGTAATTTAAAGTGAAAGTGGTATTTTTAAACGCCGTGTTCGCCTTGTCATGATGTCATGATTCAGATGGGTTCGTTGCATCAGAGGCAGCAGCTTTTATCCCTGCATGGGTAGAAAAGAGAGGTTGAACGTCTGAGGCCCAAAGGTCAGGAGTTCAAGTCCCACATACGTTGCACCACTGACGCACGCCGTCTGTCAGGGCCAGCCATAATAAAGACGCTCTAATTGGGAAGGGATGACATGCGAGATCGCTGATCTGGCTCAGGGAGATGAAATCTTTGAAGGTGACAGGAAGAAGGATGTTGGCTCACGCTGCACAGCCGCAGCCAAACCTGCTTTGCAAATCTTTGCTGCTTCAGTTTTTGTGCTCACAGATAGTTCATTTTTATTTTTATTTAGTTTTTTTTTTTAATTAAGGAAAAAGTGATTGAGATGAAAAATCTCTTTATTTTGCTGATTAAAACAAAGTACAGGTAAAATACACATCCACCTATATAGCCAGCATTATTTTATTAAAGTAAGTTTGGTAAAAGGCCCAGATCATATAAAAACATTTGATGAGATCACATCCTGATGTTACAGAGGATGATTAGAGACGCAGCAAGAAAAATAAAAAAAGAAGAAATCTGACTTTTTTTCTCAGGATTCTGACTTTAAATGTGCGAGAGAAAAAAAAGTCAATTAATTTTTAAAATGCATTTAATGTTTTTAATTAATTCTGACTTTAATTTAAAAAAAAAAGTCTGAATTTTTTAGTTTAAAGTCAGAATTTGGAAGAAAAAGTCAGAATTTTTTTCAATTAATATTTTTTTTATATTGATTCTGACTTTGATCTCAGAATGTTGACATTTTTCACCTTAATGTCCAAACAGAAAACATTTGTAGACGTTTTGAAATAAAATAATTGACTCTGTGGATATCAATTTTTCTCATAACTGTAATGTAACCAAAGCCTTTTTTAAAAAAATCACTTTTTTATCATACCATCTAAAAATGTAAATGCATAGAGTCAGAAAACTCAACACCGATGGTAGTTTTCGCTCACAGGTGTGCTGTTCGACCTCAGCTGCTTCATTGTAGGAAAATGTTGTTTACTGCAGTAAAGTCAAAGGTGAGCTGGCACCTCCTGTCTTTGTGTTTTATTAGCCTTTGTTTGCTTCTCTGTTTCTTTTGAGGACTTTAATGGGCCAAACATCAGTTTTTATTACAACTGGCACATTGACAAAGGTTAGTCCAAAAAAAAAAAAAAAAAAACCCACTTTGGGTCACATCCCACCAAAACATTCATTAGTTACCTCCAGAAGATCAGCGTCAGAGTCAGCTTGACCCACATGCCGTCAGAGTTTGCTTGTTTTAATATAACATTTCATTTTCTGGGAATCAGTTCCCAATTAATAATATTTATTAGATACTTGTGTGTTGCTTTTCTGAATACAAGAAATTCCTTCCAGGGTGGAAAGATCTTACAACATGTAACTCTGAAACAAAGGTTACAAAAAAAACATAAAGATGTGATTGTCCATTAGCGAGTGGCATCTCTTCACATGCATACACTCTTTTCTTTTTTTGGGTGGATGTTTAACAGCTTGTCTTGGTAAACTGGGAACCAAGTTTGAACAGTTCCTGCAACCTGCCATCCTTTAGATTAAAGGAAACTGGTGGAGGTGTTCAGGTACCTCGCAAAAACCAGCAGAACTCCATCCGACCATAAACTGCAGCTTATGGAGTCTAGCTGTAAACCAGTGGTGTGAATCTTTAGACCCTCCAAAGATGCTCCTAATGACTTGTCAGCAATGTTCACTAAAACTAAGTCATTTAAAAACTAGTTTTACCATTTGCATTTAGCAATATCTGCATAGAATAAAGTCAATAAGGTAGACCACAAACTACTTTATTTTCCCCACAAATATGGGATGTTCCATTTAAAGGAAACTATCCATTGTTTGTTTGTCATAGTTTAATATTTGTCTGTGTTCTAAAACCTAAACACAGAAAACTTTAGTCTAAAATTTTTCAAGCTTTAATTTGGTTTTGCGGCTCAACATACACTCACTAGGAGGAAAGGCAAAGATGGCTAATGGGTGGGAAAGATTGTTGACCTCTGACCCAGACAGAAAAGAAGCTTAACAAGGAGGAAGACCTCAATCCAAAAGTGCCAAAATCCTTTATGGCACTTTTGACCATAAGCTTTATGGTCAAAGGAGACAGCAGTTGGAGTTATTTGTCCACAAGTGGTCATAATTATGCTTGAAAGAGTCAATATGAGGCTTGCACACCTCAGAGGATATGGTGGCAGCTTCATGTTGTGGGGCTACCATTGGTACGACCAGTGGTACTGGTGTATTGTGCAAAAGGGATAGATGAGTAATTGTTCAACTTCATCTCAGATCAACAACTACATGGTTGAAAGTTGGACACACATTTCCTTCAACTGGACAATGGACTATACCAGTTCTGTCTAGAACACTTGTCAAATTTCCAGGCAGATGTATGTCTCAAGCATGTTGCAGACAAAAAGTGCAGCTTGTTAAGGGGCTTTTAATCAAATACTAGCTGAGGTTTATGTGTATATTTAGGCCTGAATGTAGTAGTTTTACCTTGTGTGGCCTGGGGAAATATTCAAACGTATGCACCCAGTTCTCATTTTTAAAATAATAAATTCTTTGTTGACTGACTGGTTAGCCCTACAAATGAAAAGTTTAATTAAATAATTCTTAGTTGAAACACCTATGTCGAGAGCAGTGGTGAACAAAATACTCAACTCTAGTACTTGAGTAAAAGTATTGATACTCATGGTCAAATCTTACTCCACTTGAGTTGATCAGAGTTGATCAGTCCAAGGTTTACTCAAGTTAAAGTACTGGAGTACTTACTTTTGAAAATCCTTCCAAATCCCAGGTGTGCGGGGCGACTGTGATTGGTCCCCCTTCTCGTGAGGAGCACAGCTTGTGGCCAATTGCATTTCAGTAAAGAGAAACAGCAACAGTGGACTACAAATCTAGCCAAAACGAAGTAACAACACACTTCCTAGAAATGTAGTGGAGTCAAAAGTCATAAGTTCCCTCAAAATAAATACTCAAGTAAAGATACTCAAAAATGTACTCTGTTACAGTCCACCACTGGACGATTGACACAACGCTTAGGGCTACATGCTAAGGTCCTGGAACTCTTTACCATCATCGTTGATGATACTCTGTGATGACTCTGTTTCAGTGTTCAGCTCAGTGCGGCCTGGGTCAGCAGATGAGAACGGTCACCTGCCTGTCCTACACCGGACAGATGTCCAATGAGTGTCCAGATTCCCTCCGGCCCGCCACCATGCAGCAGTGTGAGAGCAAGTGCGACGCCATCCCAAACTCTAACAGCGACGGTAAGACCGCCAGGCGAGAAAGTCCGGCAACGGGCACACGGAAGAAGAATGAAAGCTTTCGGTCACCAAACGGCTCTCTGCCCAAACGCCGAGCAGAAAGGGTTATAAACCATCTCTGTCTTCAACTTCACAGTTCTGCTGTGACCCAAACACTCCTGGATGACACACACCTCTACACTTTGCCAGCTACATTAATCTTTCCAGTGATGCTGGCTCGTGGTCAAAGCGAAACAGCTCGAGCCTCCATATACACTTACACATGATGGATGGCGATTCGGATGCGTACAGAGGGGGCTTTCGATTAGGCCGAATGGAAAACGTGAGCAGCCTTTACAGGCTGGCTAATGGGATTAGCTGTAGGCTAATTGTTCCTTTACGGAGAGCAGTGAGGCAACGTCTCGTTTCATTTGGCTCTGAGGAGGCAGGGGCCAAAGCCTAATAAGGGAAGACACTCTGATCGTGATAAGGCATTTAGAGCACTGCCTGTCTGGCATCCAGCAGGAGTTTTAAGTGTGTATGTGTGTGTGTTACCCAGAAATGGCAGTCAGCCCAGTTAGTGAGCGAGGCCAGGATCTGTCTCAGTCCTACTTTCTGTGTCCAAGTGTAGCTGCAGAGTTTTGTTCTGTTGAGGTCAGGGCTGCTCCACATAAACTAGCCATAGTTTAAGTGTTAAACCTGATAATTTCACTAAACTATGACCAATAGAAGAACATTCTCTAAGCCTAAGTACACCTGCAGCAATCAGGCTAAAAATACAGATAAAACATGTATCAAATATATAGTTTAGTCTATTTCACAGGTTAATTCCACTGGTTGAATTCTTCCTGCAGCTTTCGTGGAATAACCCTTTTATGGTAGTTAGCAACCTTAGAGTCAAATTTCAGCATAAACTGATCATAAGATAAAAAATAGAGATGCACCAATCAGAGATTTATAGCAAATCTCTGTGTTTGTAAGGTTTTGAGCAGCTGATGCCGAGACTAGCTCATCTTGAGTTATAGTTTTAGCTAATTATAATCTCAAAAGAATATTGTTTACCTTTCCTGATCAGTAATTGTGTATGTTAGGAGCAGATGTGATGTTCCAACATGTAAGAGAGCGCTGGCTTCATAACTGTTTGAAATTAAACACAAAGCAACTTCACTACCATGTAGCACAGTTAGCATGGTTAGCCTAATGGGAGTCTCGTTGTACATTTCCAGTTCCAGAGTTGGGCAATTCTGCTCATTCGACAAAAACATTCCCAAAGGGGGTGTAGATGAATGACAAACATCTCTTTTTCTGGCCTAAAAAATGATGGGTACAAATAAACCCAAAGAACAATTATAGCAAATAGCAAATTATCACGTGCTGAAGTTTAGCTAGGCTACCTGTTGTAGCCTAAATGTGATGTCAACATGCCTCTGGAAAAATAAACACACTTTGTTCTTCATCTGGCTTCATGAAGAACATGAAGTCAGATGAAGTACTTTGTTTGAGTCCTCTTCTTGCTGAACCAATTTCCAGAGCAGAGTATTGTTAGTGTGATATTGCAGGTATGCTGCATTTGCTTGGTAAAAAGGTCAAATTTTTGAGTTTTTAATCGGCTGGTCAAGCTGCATCTCATCCAGTTTCAGTCACCAGTCTATTTCTTTGCTAATCTCTGGATAAAAGACAGAGAACAACAAAATGGCAGCCTAAATCTAACATGTGGGATAATGTTTTAATAACCAGCTGATGTGGAAACAGAAGATTTTCCAATTATGTCTTGGCCAGTTCTGAAATAAAGGGTTACTTCATATTCTTTAAAGTGAGGTTATTTGAAGTTATTATCAGTAATAACTTCACTAGCTGTATAACTTCACTAAAAAGGTTGAGGTTGTTGGACGTCATCACGGTGGTTTAAGCTAGCAAGCTATTCAGACATGCGCTATCTGTTTTTGATGACTTTAGCGCTTTAATTCAACTGAAAATGAAAATGTTCAGATCAGTGGGATTCAACACTGTGTTTAGCAGTGTTAATTTCACCATTTTACAGAACACTGTTGCTGTGTTTGGTTCTCTTTTGTGTACGTCCAAAGGGCTAGCTAGTTAGCTTGAACTAGCTTCTGAGGATGTACTTGCTTTTCCAACAAGCTCATAGTGACACAGTTTCCCTTTAAGCTTGAACAGCCTTCTATGTACTGATATTTCACATCCTTGTCATACTGACTGAATTAAGTCAGCTGTATCTGAAAATCAAAAACACGTGTATGCTGTTAACTATTTAAAAGGCTTACATCCTGATGAAAGCTGTTCCCTCTCAATAACCAAACATTGTTCCTTTTTTTTCTCCACAGAATGCAAAGATGTAAACAAAGTTGCTTACTGCCCGCTGGTGCTGAAGTTCAAGTTTTGCAGCCGAGGCTACTTCAGACAGATGTGCTGCAAGACCTGCCAGGGGCACTGACCCTGGCACAAAAGCAACGCGTAGTGATAAAGAACGACATGGATACAGAGGCAAAGAAGATGGAGGGATAAAGCACTGAGCAGGAGGAAAAGTGAAAAAAAATAGGAGCGATGATAAAACTCCTCAGTTCTCGAGTGTGGGAAGAAGAAGAGACCAAAGCTACAGCCCGAAGAAAGGCCTTCCCTGTTTGTCGGAGCCCTTCTTCCTGGTGGAAACCAAACCACTGCTTGGCCCATAGCGCTGAAAGAAACTCTTCTCTTTTTTTTTGTATTTTTTGCTTCTGTGAAGTGGAATTTAGAAGATCAACTGTGGGATGATATTATTTTTATTATAATAATAATCAATGATATCATCGTGGGTCTTCCTGTGTGTTTTGTTGTGGTGTAAATCCAAAGGGTTGGACGCATCGCTCCACACGCGACGTACCCACGAGACGAACACAGAATGAGGGGAGCTGCTCCGATGGATTCCCGCCTTTGAGAAGGTGCTGGGTTGACGTTTGGCTTTGGTGCACTTTTTCCATGTAAATACTCCAACTTACAGCTCAGACATAGTTGAGAACCCGTGTGTACTGTATATTTATTGTACAACTCCAAACAGAGCGTCCTCGGATGTCTCTGTCAAACAGTAGCCTACTGCCATGGAAGGGAATGTAATGTGATTGAGTTTATAATCAATAACGTTGTGTGCTGGAATGGAATTATACTGTAACCCATGTTAGAATTGTGTATACTGTACGGATTTGTGTATTATAAATGATATTAATCTAAAACCAGAAGCTAACACATGGTTATAGGAGTATCCATTGCTTCTCGCCCAGACCGGTGCATCAGCGTCACTCAGTAGGGCAGAATTTCACATTAACCCCAGATAGACTGTCTGATGTTGCCTGGACCACATGAAACATTACCAACAAGAGGCCTTTACTCAACTTCTATTCAATCAGAGCACAGCTCACGAGTGAGGGATTCATTTTGAGGACGCGTTTGAAGCACCTTTTTCATTTGAGTAACAGTATGGATATTATTCTCTTACTCTACAAAGTGGTACAGTTTCTCAGTAAAAGCTGGGAGGAAATTGGGCAACATTTTTGTAAAAGGTCACATTATTCTTCCAATTGAGTCATTAAAAACAGAATAAGACAGAAAAAGCCAGATCTAGAGAAGGTTTGGCTTTGAAAATTAAATGCCAGCTTTGTTGCATCTTGCAGTTGTGGACATCAACACCTCTAGATCTCAGTGAACAAAGAGGAATGTCAGATGCATCACCGATGCTCAATTGGATGTGGCATCATCAAGAGTTCCTACTGTTACATTTGTTTGGACGGTGTGGGACCAGACGGTTCTGGGAACTACCCATGGGTCACCGGTTAATGAAATTGTGGTTTGGGACGTTCTTGATGATTCTGAAATAGGACCATAAGAAGTTGAGTGAATGGCAGTGGTCCTCACATTTTGCAATGTCTTCCCAACATCACCGAACACTTTAAGGACTTTGGAGGTTATTGGAACTGGGAAGGTCTCTGTTGAGGAGCATTGGTTCAACTTTTTCTGAGTTTATTTTTGTTGTACTTCATTCCAGGGTAATCTTTGTAAACTCAACCCATTCCTGAATCTTTAGGGTGTTAGACCATTTGATGCACAGTGAATCCCTTTTGACCAGATCATATGCACCTCAATCACAGAAAGCTCCCATTCTGCTTGAAAGTTCTCTGAACTTAGTACCAAAAGATTCAGATAAGATACAGCCACTCCAAATAATTTGCTGTGCAAATGCAGAAATAACAGGAAACCTCTTTCAAAAGTCTGAAAAACAGGTAAAGTCCTTGGCAAATTGGATAATTCTAGGTACAATAAAAAAGTTCATTAGATTTTGAGACTTCGTCAGCATCCAGTTGATTACTGGAGCTTGTCTTTTCGTGTTGTGGAATCCGAGCCTTCCTGTGTCTTGATGTGTCCAGCTGCATTGATCTTTAGGTAATATAACAATGTTAACCTTCAAATTAACAAAGATCAAAACCCATCACAGCTGCTTTACTGGGGCACCACTCCATATTAGGTTCCAGTTTCCACAGTGAAATTTAGAGGTGATTGGCTCAGCCTAATTTTAATATTTATTAAGACCAAATATTACACAAAGTGAAAATTATCTCATAATGATGAGCCATTTTTCAACAAGGTTCTGTTAAAATATTAAAATTCCAGTTGCAGAGGAACTGCAACTGGAATTGCATGACTTTGTTTGGCATGAATTCACATTAGCAGACCCAGAGGCTAACGCTAAGACTGTCTGAGAGGGAACTGAAAGACTGGAGCTAATTTTTCCCTCCTTATATCAACTGTCTCAAAAAATGTCACAGAACTTCAGGTGAACATTTAAGCTCTTAATAATTTTCCATTTCACGGCTAATTATTGGAAAGCTAACGTTTATCTAAGTGGGAAAATTAAGGAAGAGGTTGCGCACCACCCATAATCTTCCTGCGTGAAACACAGTTCCTCTTAAAGTAATCATATGATAAAGTGGTGTAAAAGGCAAGAATATTCACTAGGTTTCAGTGAACACCAATGATTTTTACTCATTGTGTCAGCCCCTCTTAGCTTAGCTTAGGGCTAGCCTTTCAATACATCTGGTAAGATACAACAGAACTTAGCTTAATTTTTTTGAACAATTGCTTTAAGTGTCTCCCTCTTTTCCTCGTCTTTGTCAGAAAGAGAAAAATACATTTCCATTTTTTTCCCTCAGTTTTTACTGGTGTTTTTTTTTTTTTAAAAGCTTTTTCCTCTTTTCCTCCTCCTAGCCTCCAAGACTTGGAGCCTTCCCAGGCTTCTGGTGCTATCAACAGGTGCTTCCATTCAAACCCCTCTCCAGTGTGCTTAAAAGTTAAAGTTTGAGCCAAAAAAGACAAGTTGATATACTTGTTAATATCTCTGCTGGTAAATGCTGGTCATGTTTTATTTTTTCTGTTTTCTTTTTACTTGTTTATACCTCACACTGGGAACTTTTGCTGTTCAGAAAGGGTAACGCTGTTCGTCCAATTGACCAAAATGGACGCTTGCCCGGATGTAACAGATCTTCTCTATCCAAGTGACATTTCTGCCGGGTGTGAAAGGGAACTCCTCTGAAACGTTACGTGGCGGTACGGAGGGGACAAATCTGAGCGCCAACACAGGAAGTGCATGAAGACGTCTCTGAGGCTGTTAACGACGATATTCTGATTTTTGCTGCTGCTACTTTTTTAAAAAAAATATTTTTTTTGGTAGCCACCTTCCATGTGACGATGTCGAACAGTTTTTTATTAGCCGCAGAAGCCTCAGCGAGGACGCTGAGAAGCATTTTCTGCACGGACTGACCCAGCTGTGGGGGAAAGCAGCCATCACAGACCGAAGATTTGAACTCAGTCTAGCTGGTACTCATTGCTGTGAACCTGGATGTCTGAATGTCACGTTGCTCGTGTCTGTACCTGAAATCGCGAGAGAAATGATAAGCGTCATGTGATTAATTGCATTTATTTTATATTCAGTATTAATGTTGGTAAACTGTTACTATTTTTTTTTCTTTTCGGATGTTAATAATGTGCTAATTTATTGCTGTGTCTCACATGTACATTTATTTCACTGCATGCAAACTGAAATTAAGCATAGTGAAAGAAGTGCAGTGGTGCAGCTCTTCGCCATTTTTTAAAAGGGTAGAAACAATAAAGAGCTTTTACTGAGGGGCATTTGTGAGTAGATTTTCATTATTTGCGGTGCCTCGCGCAAAAGTATTTAAACCCCTTGATTTGTTTCACGTTTTGCCACGTTAAAGCCACAAACTTCATGAAAGGATTGTATGCAATAAATTATTACAAAATAGTGTGACATTAACTGCGTTTACATAAAAAATGTGCGCAAAAGTTAGTTAATATTTGGCTAATGTCAAAAAATAAAATTTCGTAATTGTGCCATTTCCTGATAAGTAAGAAATGTCGTTGAACTCACATATGAATAAGTTTGTTCAAGGCATAAGTCATTAAAAATAAGGTGGCGCCATCATCCTCCTACGACTTCCTGTCGTCTTAATCTTTTCCGCCACTAGTAACATGGCGTCACAAGACTCGTGTGACGTGAAGTGTTCCCATTGCGGTTTTGAAAAATACCCAAATTTTGATACGGCCAAAAACACACCTCAACCTAGCGCAAAAACTTTTTTATCCCAAAACATTTTTCCCAAATTGCAGTGTTTCCACAGAGCGAATATATTTTTGTAATTTCAATTTGCGCAATTATTTTTGTAGATGGAAACGCAGCTATTGTGAAATGGTAGGAAAAAGTCGGTTTTTGTTGTAGCACCAGCTGTATGTTTAGGGTTGGTGTGGTGAATCGCCAGGCATGGTCTAAAGTGTTTTGCTGCAGCTTACAGATTATCTTCAAGAATAGCCCTTCAACAACACAAAATATTACCAAGTACATTTTGTTCTAGTTTCTAGTGCAAATATCTTAGCACACTTGAAAGATTATATTATAAATGAAACAATCTGTCAATGGAACAAGTAATTTTTTCGCTAACATTAAGGAATTATTGACTTCTAGGGGCTGTAGTGTGTTTTCCAGCCATATTTTATAGCACAGCTGAGTAACTATATTAACTTCAGTTGTTATAAAAATGCTGCAAGTTAAATTTCTTTTAATGCCTTGAAATTGGGCCTCTGCCTCTTTAAGAACTCCTGCTCTTTCTGAAACTCCTCCTTCAGGAAATCATCACAACATGGCTCCTCTATTAACCCTTTAACAACATTTTTACCAGCATTTCACTGAGAAGTAGCTCCTATAATGAGCTCAAGTGTTTGCTAATTGCTGCTGGCTAGTCTGAAGGAGCTCAGTGGATGAGGGTTGCTCTGTGAGGCGGACGCTTGGAAACTGTAGCTCAGAGGAGCTTCATCCTCGAAGGCGAAGCTACGTCTCCCGAGGCATTTTGCACAGCTGAAATTAAAGGATTTCTCAAACATGCATGAAAAAAATCAAAGCAAGACTCCAAATATGTTTTTGATAAAGGAATAATAAAATATGATGTAAAGCTTAAAAAAGTTCACTTTACATAAGGACACAGATTTAGTGCTGTGAACTCAACTAAATATTGACTTGTAGGGGAGGAATGATGCTCGCCCATAGACTAATCTACATGCCAAACATGTAGATAAAGTACTATCATGTACTTTGTCTTGTCATTTTTATTTCATTGGCAACATAAGTTTTCCATCCAAAAATCCAACTCAAATTGACAACAACTTGATTTATGAAAGTGTGAAACATTGAAGGAGGGATAAATACTTTTTATAGGCCTTGTACCGTCGTTCAAACATTTGCAGACTAGATAAGAACTGTTGGCATCTCTTTGGTTTCAGAGAGTGATAAACTCTTGTTCATTCATTCAGCTCTTGGAAAGCACCCACAGCTTGAGAACAACTGCTGGCATGATGTCAGCAAACGTGTTACCAAAGCTGAAGAGATCCGTTTACATGCCGACTCGGGTTGTGGTGTTCAAACAGGGGAAGCACCCATAATTCTTACCTTTCTTAATCCAATATTTCGGTCTCATCAACTTCTGAGACTCGACAGAACAAACGTGGACCACCAGGAGAAGCGTCAAATGCCTCCCCCGAACCGTCTCAGCCATTGTTCCTGCTTCGCCCCAGCCTGAAAGGGCTCCGTCTTCGGAAGCTGTAGGGTTTCCACTCTCCTTGGTAATTAAGTCCAAATAAACAGCCACTAAGCCCAGTCGGCTGGGAAATGCCGCCGTCTCCGTCTAATCCACGGTGTCCGATTACAGAAAGAGAATGGTGGCCTGTTTTGGCTTAGCAGAAGCGGTTGAGAGTAGGGCTAGCTTCTGTGGGGCTCTGGGATTATATTAGCTCTAACCTGCAGAGCTCAGGGAAACACAAAGAGACAGAGAGATCCTGGGCTGGTCAGAAGTCTTCTTACACTCATTTATGACATGAATATATTATTTCAGAGATTTAATGATTTATTTGAACTTTGCCCTACTGCTGGACTCATCGAACACAAACTTTAAAGGGGTGGGATCATGAAAAATAGACCTTTTAGAGCTTTAAATTATGTTATTTCCTCATCCAAAACACACCTGGAGTGTTGCCTTGATTTGTTCATACATGTTTGAGAAATCCTTTAAATTCCCATGGGAACCATTCAGCTCAGAAAAACACATAGATGGATATAGCTCCGCCTTTGACAACACAGCTCCTCCTCAGAGCTGAAGTTCCCAAGCTTCCAAGCTTGTGCCTCATTCAGCCCCTTCTGACTAGCCAACAGCAATTAGCAAACGTGTTCGAACTGCACACATCCTAATTATAGGAGCTACTTCTCAGTGAAATGCAGGAAGAAACATTGTTAGATGGTTAATAGAGGAGCCATGTTGTGATGACTTCCTGAAGGCGGAGTTTCAGAAAGAGCAGGAGTTTTTAAAGAGACAGAGGCCCAATTTCAAGGCGTTAAATTACAAAGTCAAATTTCTTTTAATTTATATTTGATAAAGCATTTTTATAACAACAGAAGTTAACATAGCTAATGATGGTGCTATAAAATGGCACTATGTGCTTTGAAAATACATAATACTACCCTGTAAAATAGTCGGGTGCAAGTCCAAGGGAGTGCTCCTTCAAATAGTCTGGAAATGGACTAGCAAATCCTTCTCAGATTAATGGATAACAGTTTCTTTTCAGAGTAATTGCTGATGTCTTCCTTCTTGGCATTGTGTAAACACACACATCTGGACTCTCCGGACCAGCAAACCACTAAAACCCGAGCTGGTCACACAGCTGCTAATGATCAACTGCATTTGATTAGCAACCCGTGGTATACTTAGCCTCCCGAATCCTTCGGAATCAGCAAGAGTTGAAGTAGTTTTCTGACGAGTGTTTTGACAGTTTCGAAAACATTTTTTTTTTTTCCATTAGTCTCCTTTACTGGTACAAAACGTGTCTCCAACTGGACAAATGTCACAGTGACTGCTAGCGATCCTGCCTGTGGAGACATGGTGTTCACAGCCTGTTTATGATAAGAGGTGTGCAGAGGACGGGGAACAGATTTCTGCTCTTCTCTGTGATTCTGCACTTCAAATGGAAACCTCTGAGATTAAGAGAAGCCACTGCATTTTGCTTATCAGCCATGAAATACCTCGGGAGCTAAACTACAAAGCGAAGCCACGCAGATACGGCGATAGCACCAGGTCTGATTACTCAAACTATGCTGAAAGTCCTTCAAAGAGAGTTAATGTGTCCTTTTAAAGTGCTTTATCCCACAGAGCTGTCCGATTGGATCCTACGTTTCTGTTGACCATAAAATTGAGCAAATTGAAATTATGAAAATAAATTTGCTCATCGGGAAAAAAGGCCAAGTTTGAAAAATCTCCCATCCAAAGCATGAACTCCAGCTGCTTTTCCATTACAAATGTGCACAAATCTTTGTATATATTCTGATAATGTCAAAAAACAGAAGTGAAATGAAAATCACACCTGTTCACATGTGCATAATGAGTGCGAGAGTCATGACCGAATTAATGACTTATCTCGTGAACAATATTTTTTCACGTGTGAATTACATTTCGTAATTGCAAAATTGGTGTTTTTTTCCCCACATCAGCAGAACATAGACAAAGATTTAGACATTTGAAGCGGATACAGAGCTACTGTAACTCTGCACTCAACAGTTTACATGATCCGTTACTAGCTTGACGATTAGCATAACCTCGGATGACACGGAGTGGTACACACTCCACGTGCTGAGTGACTGAAGCAGTACAAACACTCTCCCATCCGAACCTGGCCCTGCAGAACAAACAGTCCCAGATGGTGTGGCTGGAGATAGTGCATTCACAGACCCAAGGGGGGATGAAGAGGTGGGGGATGAAGAGTAGGGGTTTGGGGGGTATGACAGGCAGGAATGTTGGCCTGGGATGGGAAGGTCACGGCTCCAGCACCTGCTATCAACAGGCCTCTGTCGTGTTAATCCTTACTGCTCTTTCCCACAGCTGAGGCTCAGAATGAGCTGTTCGCAATCAAGGCCCTGAAAAAAAGAAAGAAAGAAAAAAAAACAAAACAACCTCAACAATGTAACCAGGAGGATGTGCGAAGAGAAGCTTCAGCTATGCCTTTTCTCCCGCCACGGCTTGAATAATCTGCAAAGTATCACCCAATCTGAAAACTGAACTTTTTTTTTTCTTTCCAACAAGCGATCCTGAACATCCACCCCAAAAAATTTTGAATTTTAACTTATAAAAGAAAATTTTATTTATAAAATTAAAGAATGGCCCAGTCAAAGTCCAAACCTAAAACCAATCGAGAATCTGTAGCAACCCCTAAAAATTAGCATGGCTGTTGCTTCCCTACGCAGTTCCTCCGTATTCTCGCCTCCCTTAACTGATCCATCTTAGTTTCCTCCCTTTGACTTTGATTAATTCAATAGACTTTCTACTGGGCCAATCAGCAAACAGAAGACGTTGTGAACGACGATGTTGATTTTCTGTGGATTTTCTTTTCAGAACTGTAGTCTGCCTGTCGTTTTATCAATAACAGCAGAGAAAGTTAATGAAGCCGTTCAGTCCATGTTGGCCAATCTTCCAAACATTGAATTAACATTAACAGCCATCTTGTTTGTCTCGGCACTTCTCTCTACACAACACAATATGACTTTTTACAGCACAATTTCTGGTTAGCTTCATGACACTGAAATACAAATTACATAC